GGGGGGGGGGGGGGGGGGGGGGGGGGGGGGGGGGGGGGAAGGCTCCTTGAGAATCAGTTCTTTTATTTTTTATCCCATTCGATCCACATATTATTACAGTCTGCATATGAAATCCTCAACAAGGTTGGAGTCCTTCTGAAGGTGCTTGTATCCCATGTGCCAATTTTCCTAGGATGTGGGTATAAAAACAACCAAACCTAGGCTTAGTGGTAAAACAAATGGATAAGGCAGAAGAATGAGCAGTGTAATTAATAGATCTATTGACTTCAGGAATTATAGATCCATCCTTCACATATCCCTCATATTTATTTATTTAATTAAAAGAAAAAGCAAAAGTTATAAATCAAGGTTTTACAATTAAAACATTTTGTTATAGGATGGGTTTATAATTGAAAAAGTCTCTAGCAAAGACATATATAATCCTGTTTAGTAATCTAAACACAAGTTGATAACCAGGCATTTGTAGGGCTTTGAGAGAAATTTAGCAGATTTTTAAAAATAGCTTTTAGCTTTTAAAATTAAATAAGTATCAGGCCGGCCCGTGGCTCACTCGGTAGAGTGCGGTGCTGATAACACCAAGGCCATGGGTTCGGATCCTATATAGGGATGGCCGGTTTGCTCACTGGCTGAGCGTAGTGCTGACAACACCAAGCCAAGGGTTGAGATCCCCTTACCGGTCATCTTTAAAAAAAAAAAAAAAAAAAAAAGATAAAATTAAATAAGTATCAAACATATCACAAATGTGTTGACCCAAAGGCAAATTTAGGCAGAAGGTTTAAATTAAATTTTGAAAACATATTTATTGTATCAACAAGTATACTTATTTATTTAGTGAGTGTGCATTAATTATAAGCCAACTTGGTACCATGCACATGATACAAATATGCATGTGGACATGAACACATAGACATAACATGCACTTATGGACACATGTATGTAGACATAAACAGGTAAAATAGAGAACTCACTAGTATAAAAGGACGGTTAGATATAAATTGTTTTCCTTTATTAAAAAATGTCAAAATTTAACTGTGAGGCCTCACCTTGTTTTAGAAAAAATAAGGTAACGAAACAGGTTGATTTTAGTTTAGTATTTTGTGTTTTAAATGTGTTACTGAGCATAAAGTTGAGAGAGTATACAGAGATAAGGATATAGAGTTTTTGGTTTTTAAAAGAAAAGCAGCAGACCCAAAAAGAACGTCTAGTGGGTGCCAAGGCTGCATTTCTCATAAGGACTCAGAGTCCCTGGCAAAGAAGAGAAGCATACACAGTTGAGAAAAGAAAACATTTTAAACAAAACCAACATTGTAAAGAAATATGAACTTCTTTTATTTTAGTTTTTCCAATTAAAAGTTCTTTCAGTCGCTGAAAAAGATTAAGTTTTATCCTTTTTTGGTGACACAAACATATCCCTGCTTTTTTGTTAAGGTTTAGTGTAGGTCTCAGAGCGACTTGACATAGATTCCAAAGTGTTAGGTGGGAAACCTTGATGAGAATTATTGCATAATTAATCAACAGCCAATTAGTTTTCACATTTCTGTGTCAAGGTTTCCTTCCTTGGAATACCAGGGACCTTGTTATGTGATAACCAATAACAGTTTTACAAGCTACCATTTGGTTCCTTTTCAGCCGGCTGCTTTAAGAAACAGTGAAATTGTAATGTGTGATGAGTCTCCCCCTTAGATAAGGAAGTTCCTGTATTTTAAAAGTAAAAGAAAAAACAAAACTTATGAGCTGTTTTGATATCCTGCAAAACTAAGATCATATATTGACTGTCTGAATATAAGTTAAAGGGACTGT